CACAGGACACCACCAGGGCTCATGCGAGTGCAGAGAGGACACTGCCTGAGCCCACCTTGGCTGCTGCTCTCCCATCTCCCATCACACCTTGAGGAGAAGACAGCCCACAGCAGTGGGACCTCCAGCTGCTCCCACACACAGCTTAGCTCCGGCAGGACAGAACCTGTCCTTCATATTTCTTTATTGACAAGTACAGACTCAAGGTCTGCAGAAAAGGGAGGGAGATTTGAGTGCCAACAGACAGACCCCACTGCCAGTAGCCAGGAACCGATGAAAACTGAGCAGGAAGGTAATTCACACTTACACAAGAAGAATGCCATCTAACTGGATCCTCAAAGCAAAATAGTTGTTCTATCTTCCCAAGCTATCTAAAGGCAATGAAGAGACTCTTATCTTGTTGAGATAAGAGAGTAAAAGCATCAGTACATCTTATGTTCTTTAGCTAGTAGAGATTAATTCCTTGATTAAAGCAAAGATCATGGTTAAAATTCAGAAATCTAAACCTTAAGAAATGGTGGTTATTGCTGAGTGCTGTAGGGCCTGAGTATTTATGACATCAGTGGATCTTACTAGGCCCATACCTTATAATCTTTCCCTGAAGACGTGGTCTTCTGGTTGTAATTATGCTGATGCTGTGACTAAAGCTGGGATCCGTAATTTAAATAATCCAGCCCAAAGGACCTGAATTACTGCAGGGTGGTGTAAAGATTACAGTTAGGTAGAATGTGTCCACTGGGGCCTGTACCTTATAAGCTGCAATAGAAATAAGCAAGGAGTTATAAATGAAGAACTTGTCAGGGTTCTGTTTATGTTACTTATGGGAGTGTTGTGAACCAAGCTTACCTCAGGATGTTGGAAGCTGAATTCCATGTATGGTCCTGTTGGGCCTGACAAGGAGTCAGTGTTGTCCATTTTCTCAAAAGTATCAGCCATTTGTCAATATTAATAAGAAGGTTAGAATGAGGACTAAGGTTAAATTTAGGGTTAGGAGCTATGGATCCTGAAGAATGCTAATTGCTGCTGACAGTATTTGAAGATACCTTATTTTTTATTCTACTATCAGGCGGGTATGTGTATGTCCAATGTGCATGAAGGTCCAATTTACTATGTGCTGCTGCCCAAGAACATAAGAAGGAAGCCTAGGGTACACAGGTATTTATAACAAGGAGCTGAGGTTAGGGTTAGGTTAGGAATCCAATACTGAGGAACTTGTTTTGTTACTGGATGCTGCACAGCCCTCAGTATTAGGAACAGGGCTGATGTCAGTAAGGGACAGCTACTGGGGGACAAGAGGGAAGAGAGCAAGTGTTGTAGACCCAAGTCTAACAGTTATAATAGAGGTAGGAATTAACATTAAACTTAGGAAATCTGAAGCCTAAGAAGAGAATCAGAGTTAATGCCAATATATGTGGATGTAACGTCTCTATTCATACACTGTGATGATAGGCATTAGTGCTTTATGGTCTGTTTACCTGAAGCTTTGGCCCTTCATTTTAGGCATGCAAATTGTTAGGATGAAGTTTCAGTCTGTTGTGCTCTGAGCTGAATTTATGCATGAAGTTGAATTCTCCATTGAATGACAGAGATCACTAGCATTAACACAAGCTAATGTTCTTGATTCATCCACAGGGCTAGCTCCTTTCATAAAGCTACCATCAGGGCCCATGTAAGGATACTGTCTGGGCTATTGCTGGAGGTGAGATTAGGAAATTTAAGACTACATCTGTATCACTCAATAAAACAGAGTTAAGGACTTCTCCCAAGCCAAGCAGCACAGACTTTCTCTGTCCACTTTACACAGGACTTAACTAAGGTCCCCTTAGGCCCCAAGGTGTCACTGTGGCCTTTGAAATTTTTCTAGAGACACTGAATCAAAAATTGTCATTTGGTGACTAAAAGACACCAAATTGCAGCCCATCAAACTGGTATATTCAGTCCCTGAGCTGAGGTTGTTCAGTGCATGTCCTAGACTGCAGCATGAGGAGCGGTTGTACATTGTGCTGTTGAGGGCACACAACCTATTGCAATAACTCTGGAGGACTGTGGAGGGAGACAAATTGATGTTGTTTTGTCTGTTCTGTATAGAGGAAGTAAATCTTTGCTCTTACAGTCTCCAAACCATGCCTGAGCAGTGAGTATTAAATGACATTAGGGCAAAATCAAACAAAGGAGTCACCATTAGCACTAAGACCAATTCAGGAGTCACAGATTTCAAACTCACTCTCCACCTCTTATGGGTTTTTTTGCCAAGACAGTCATAGGCTGGGTGTGAAATGCTTGATTTTTTACAGGATGCTGCAGTCCACAGTATTAACCAGCAATCTGGTGTTAGGAGGGAAAATATTCCCTGCTACAAAACAGCTGGAGTCCTTCACTGTGGTTATAGCAAAGGCGAAGGTTTGAAATGCTGCCAGCACTTGGAAATCGAAAGCTTGAAGAACTGACAACATGGCTGACTTCTTCAGAGCAGACATCCTGATGTAGATGGGAGCCAATTTTTACCATAGAATCATAGAATTGTAGAATCATAAAGGTTGGAAAAGACTTCTAAGATCATCTAGTCCAATCAGTAGACCCATCACCACCATGTTCACTAAACCATGCGTGTCCATATCTTCTTGTGGTCTTTTCCTGTACCTTGGTTATAATTAACCATAATTAGTAGGCTGACATACTGATATCAGTATGGTCCAATCATACTCAAAAGGAGCATGTTACAGTATAGAAGAATAGGCCCTACAGTTTCCTTTAGCAACATACTGTGGTGTCTGCTATAATCCTACACATATACTCTAGCTGAGACTACAGAACCACATTAGCTGTTATGTGCTGTTGCTTCCTCCAAAAAAGAATAGAATTTAACCTCAACAGTCATAATACGAAACTACAATCTAACTTCAAAGTATTGATAGAATGTTTGACTGTTTTGCTTTCTTTTTGTATCAGTTTGATTAGTATATGCATATGAAGTAACACAGCAAGTACCGATGCAGTAAGGGGCAGAACAAACATTTTTCACTGTCGGTCTGGGCTGTTTTTGCATAAACACTAATCTTAGTGACAATCTCAATTGTACTATGGCTGTTTAAAGCAGTGACTTTCAGGCGGAGCACCCATACACACCAACTCTTACCAAGCTTTCCCAATGGCTTGTCCCCTTTCAGGAGACCCTGCTTTCAATAATGTGCCAAAAAAGACAAACGTCCTTCATTGCAAGGTTCATAGAAAACTGATGAATTTTTTGTTAAGTCAGCTGAGAAATCAGGTCTATGGTAATCAAAGTAAAATAAAAAGATAATATCAGTGATGTTTTGTGTAAGTCTACACCAGGGTGGAAACTATAAATGTCAACCTGTAACACTCTGTGAAAAGGATGGTTAATAACTGCACAAATTTCCCTTACTTACTCCTCGCACTTTTGAAAACACAAGGAGAGGAGAAATGCTTGTGTTCTTTCTCCACAAACACACAGATACAAACACATAGCATAGCAATGGGTCATACTCATTGCAGGAAACTGGATCCTGTGGTTTCAGAGTCCAATGCCCTGATGCTATGAATCTCAGAAAATGAGAGTTGTTTACTTGCGAGGATGCAATTCTTTTCTTGGTAGAAGTTACTGGTTTATTCCTGAATATTATTTTTTTTCTGCATGACAGAGTACTTTCAAGTGTGTATATATATGCACATTTCCCAGTCCCAAACCCTTTGTGTTTGAAGAGAGCAGTTTACAGAGCAGTGTAAGCGCACACCCTGTCTCCTTGTGCAATCACTTGCATTCTCCAGTCTTGATGTCTCATCATTGTGGGCCAGGCAGTGGCAGAGGTTGGGCTGCAGAGAAGAGAAGGCTAAAAGGTCACACTGCTTCACAAACTGTTCCATAAACAGCCGTGAATAACAGAGAGGGTGGCAGACCAGAGGGATGTTAGGAATCACATGAATTTTACATGTCATGATTCTCCAAAGGACTAATCACTGAGTTGAAGACATGGCAAATCTTTTTTCTCCTTTCTGGCTGAATGAAAAAAAAAGTACTCTGTTCAGTTTTGGACCCCACACTACAAGAATGATACCCGGGCCCTCAAAGCATCTAGAGAAGGGTAACAAAGCTGATGAGGGATCTGGAGCACAGGCCTTACGAGAAGCAGCTGAGGGAACTGGAATTGTTGTCTGCAGAAGAGGAGGCTCAGGGGAGACTGCATCACTCTCTACAACTGCCCGAAGGAGGTTGAAGCGAGGTGGGGGTCAGCCTCTTCTCCCAGGTAACAGCGATAGGACAAGAGGGAATGGCCTCGAGTTGCACCAGGGGAGGTGCAACCAGGTTCAGGTTGGATATTAGGAAAATTTCTTCTCAGAAGTGGTGATGCAGTGGCACAGGCTGCCAGGGTGGATTCACCACCCCTGGAGGTGTTCAAGAGCTGTGCAGGTGCAGCACTGAGGGACGCGGTCAGTGGCGCAGTGGGGATGTGGTGATGGCCAGACTTGATGTTCTTAGTGGTCTTTTCCAACTGTAATCATTCTATTCTATATTTCTGTGGCCAGCATCACACAACAATTCAAAGTCTCACATAAATATAATAAGCATAAATACCACATTGCACTGCTTTTCTTTTCTCAGCATTACAACTACTGCACTCACTTTTTAAAGATGCCCAACTAAAGACCAGCCTACAAAGCGCTCATCTGCACACAGCCATCACGTGCACCTAAAAAACGCACACCGTGTCACAGCCTCATCAGCCCAGCCAACACCGCACCTGCAGCCCTGTATTTCATTACGCACTTGCGGTGCTGCCTTACCCGAGCACCGCCCCGCAGTGCCCCCTCCTTCTCGCCCTTTCATTTCAGCGGTGCCACCAACCCCGTCCCAAAGCGGTGAGTCGCCCAACCTCCGCCCCTCCGGCCCCGCAGCCGGAGACCCCCGCGGCAGCCCGGGCCGGAGCTCGGGGCAGGTGCGCGGTTCCCGCCGCCTCCCGGGGCCGCCGCCCCGCCCACACCTGCCGCCCGCCCGCCCACCTCCGGGCCGAGCCGCGCCGCACCGCCGTAGCTGCCGGCTCACCGGCCATGGACGCGTAGCGGCGGGAGGAGAGAAGAGCGTTCCTCAGGTCAGTGGATGGAGGGTGGGAGGGAGAGCCCCTCCGAGCCGTCGCTCCGCTCCGCGTCCCCGCCGCCGGTCCTCTGCTCACCTGCGCTCGGCTCGGCGCTCGCTGTCCGTTCGCCCTCAGCCCTCCCGCTCTGACGGCCGCCCCTCTCTCCCGCAGAAACCTCCGCGTCGCGATGGCGGACAGCGCCGCGGCCACCGCCGCCGCCCCCGCCGCCGTGAAGGGCAGCGGCTCGGCGGGGCACTGGTGGAAGTCGCTGACCGGCAAGAAGAAGCACAAAGAAGCCGCGGCCGCCCCGTCGCCCCCCGCGGAGCCCCCCGCCGCGCCCTCCAGCCCCGGCTCCCCGGAGGAGCCGCCCCCCGCGCTGGGCAGCGGGGAGCCCCCGGGGCCAGGCGGTGCGGCCCGACGGAGCCTCCGCGTCTCGCACTCGGGCCGCTTCAAGGAGCGGCGGAAGGTGCGCGCCTCGCTGCTGGCCGACGGCACCGAGGTCTTCGACGGAGCAGAGCCCGGGCGCGCCGCCCCTGAGGGCGAGTAGCCCCGGGGGGAGAGCAGCCCCGGGGGCTGGCCTCGCTCCTCGGCCCCGCGCGGGGGGCACGGCCTCGGGGCAGCCCCGTACGCGGCGGGCAGCCGGCGGCGAGCGGAGGCCTATGGGACTGCGTGCGTGATGAGGAGCGACGCTTCCAATCGAGGGACGACGTGATTGCCTTAACGATGATACCAATGGACACCCCCCGCCCTGAACCGCGGTGGACTGGCACGAAGGTGCTACCCGGGGTCTCCGTGCCTTCCCCGGCCCTGTCTGCGAGTCAGTGTGTCCCGCTCGGCCTGCAGCCCCCAGCCAAAGGTGCACCACCGCCTTTCGAAGGAAGGGGGAACGACGCGTTTGGCTCTGATTTCAGGGCCAGGGATCTTCCAGCAGTGCCTCCGAACTGCTCTTGGTGGGGGGTGTGCAGGGAAACAAGCCCTGATTGTGTTTAGATGCTGGGGGCGCAGGTGCTCGGGTGCTCTCAGGCATTGCATTTAAATATGCAAAGGCAGGAGTGCATTGTTTTCTGCTCTTAGTGCTAAGCAGGTGATTCAAGAGGTTAGTCTCCTATAGCTCTGTTGCAGCGAGAGGCCGGTTATTGTCTAACAACTCACACCTTCTACACAGAGAATGCACCGTTTCTTTTAGTTGGTGATAACTGGCATAACGAAGTGTGATGAAGAAATGCGGAAGATGAGACCAGCCCTTGAGAGCATGGGCCGCATGGTACTCTAAGCACAGTGATGGGCTTTGGAACCACTGAAAGTATTCTTTAGTGTTTACTGTGTACCAGGCTCCTGGGGCAAGGTGCAGAGCTCCTGAGACCTCTTGTTGGCATGCTTTGCCTTGGGCAGCCCCATCCCTGCAGCTTCAGGAGCTTCGGACAGAGTAAACCGTCCACCAGACTTGCACTGGTGTTGTGCCTTACAGAGCAAACTCAGCTAAAAATACTTAGCAATTACACATTTCTTGACAGTAGATCATGTAGCTGCAACTGCCTTATTTATTTTTAAATGAATTTGCAATATACTTGATATCATTGAAACAGTTTTAGCCTTTTTTTTTTTTTTTTTTTAATGTGATATAAGATACTACATCGTGCAGGGACCAAAAATAATCTCCTAATAGTCAAGTATGATGCAGTTATGATTTTGGTTGTTGTAACTAATTATTTAAGGTAATGTCAACATAAAAAGTGACCTGTAAGGAAAAAGAGAGATGAATTCTGAACATATGGATTGAATCTGTCACTGACAATTAACAAAATGATGTAGTAGAGGCAGGACTGGTGCCCTGTGGTTCACTGTGCATAATGGTCTGTAATGAACTTTGAAAGCTCCTGTGCAATAAACTAAGACAATCTTGCTGCCTTAGTTAACAATCCTTTGCTCAGCTCCTTCTTCAGTGTCTTATATCTGAGGACAGTGGGACTGTATCATCATTAAAGTATTTTCATAAGAGTCTGCTTTCCACCCAGTGTGCTTTTTCCTTCCATTTAGTAAAGCTTTAAAACACTGATAGATTTTGACTGCTCTGTGTACTCTTGCCTACATGCTGACATTGCAGAGCGAGGATGGGGCAGTTCTTAGAAGCCATCACTGCTGTTCCTTGGAGATGCTGCTTTTACGTAGAACTTGTTTGCTGAGGGGTACCTAAAGCCATGAATGAGAAGTGACTGGAACAAACCCCATCTTGTTTGGAGGGATCTGAGAAAGATGAAGTTTAAAACTGGGAATGGAGACAACAATGACAAAAATAACTTAAGCAACACTATATTGAAAAGATAGTGTTTTGACTCCAAGCTATTTATTTCTACAGTGAAGCTCTGTTTGTTCTTTGGAAATTGGTTTGCAGGTTCATTGGCTGAAAGCCCTTGGGCACAGGGTATCTACAAATGATGGTTTTATCTGAGAAGAACTCTGGTATGATGTTCAGATGGTTGCTGCTAGGATTTGATACACACACAGGTTAATATGTGACTACGTATTAGTCATATCTGAAGTCCTGGTGACTGGTACTTTCAGCTTAGAGATTTGGTCAGAATATGAAGTCCACAAATACATGTAAAATGACTTGATAGCAACCATCCTCCATCTTAATCGTGACCTTGAGCTGTGGGAAGGAGAAGTAACTCTATCTTCCTGCTCAGTCAAATCCTTGCTTCAATGAATTTGATAGCAGCCACTGAAAAACTAGATCCATGAGAAAACTGGCTGCCTGCTGTGTCTCACTTTCCACACCCTCTGTGCAATGGCCACACAGCAATGCCTTCAGGTTAGTGCTGACCTCGGTTGGCTCAACGTGAGGAGCCCCACTGGCCATGACCAACATGTATGGCAGAAATAATCCTCTTCTTTCTCAGCCTGAGCATCAGATGAAGATTTAAGCAATGTATATGTCTGTAAATGAATTAAGCTGATACAGGAAAAACACTACATTTTATGGAGCATCTGAATTATTTTTTTAATCCTTGGAGTAAAGAAAGATTGAACTTTCTTTTGTATTGGAATACTTGTTCAGTTATAACAATAGTATAATTATATGCAGTGAATTATTAAAAGGCTGTTGGCATTCTTCGTATACTTGTTTTCCTCATCTGGCATTCTTAGTGTACGTATTTTCCTCATCTTATTATAAAGAAAATGCATCAGAAAGCAGGTTTAGGAAACAAGGCAACTGCAGAAGTAGTTGCTGCTTGTTTTTAAAAGTAAAAGCAGCTCATTGACAAAATAAACAAATAAGCAGATGAGATTGAACCCCTGCTACAACAGCAGTAGTGCACTTTTCTTGAAATTATTCCACAATTTGCTAAGGATTGCAGGTTATAGGCAAAACTAAATACTTAGTAAATAGCTTGAACTTTTCAAATAAACTTGCAAAGTATATGCCTACTTATTCTTGCTCTTGCTGAAGCCAAAAATAAAGCTCTGGGTGGCTGTCTGGTGATTCATTCTCTGCTATTGTAGGCTGGTCAGTCTGGCACTCAACAAAGATTATAGGGAGCAGGAAGCCTGCTGCAGCACCTGCAGAAAAAGATCCTAAATAGGAAACACTGGGTCAAATGCTGGAATAAATAGTTGGAAGGCTTCAGGAGTCTAAACCTCAGCTTTTAGGTCATGTTGTTGCCTGAACTGAGCTGAAAGAATGGAGAAGGGACTATGTGAGCTCCTCACAGATTCATTTATGTAAGTTTTGTCTTCACTGTAGTGCAAACAGTGGTAGTTTTGTATTTGAGATGTAGTAAAGTCTCTTGTCTGTTGACAAGATAATCTCATAGGAGGCTAAGAGCTGAAGGACAGAGCTCATAGCCTTGACTCAGGCAGTACATCTGGATATCTCACTTTAAAGCCCGTGTTTAATTTAGCACGTTCAAACAGCTGATATCTCATTGGATGAAAAGCTGTTCCAAGTGCAGGTGCAAACTGGAAGCTCATTTTGTAGCCTTTGGGGTTCCTATCTAAACAAAGAAACCCAGGCCTGGTATTTTCTAGGGTGTCATTTCAAAACTGGGTAAGAGAGTGTCAGTTATAGAATGATATTTGAGACCATACAATTACACCATTTTGAAAAACAAACCTTTTCATTTCATCACTAATTTATTGTCAATAGGAGAGGAGACCTGCTGGCTGTGATTTTTCATTTCAGAATAAAACAGAAGAGATAAACTTGCTCTACTTTATATACCACAGAAGTAGCTTATCTGTTTTAGCTTTAAAGATGTATGTGAAATTCACAAATAGCTCCGAGAAACAATATTCAGATGTAGTCTTCATGTAAAGCATATTGATTAGCAATTGCAGCTTAAGATCTAGACAAAGCAATATAATATCAAATAATGTGTTTTGGGGATAGAGAATCTCTTTTCAGAAAGTTCCAAGGGCTGTTTTTAAATGAAAAAATTAGTCCTATGTATAATCCTCATCAGAGCAAAATGTCATATTTCATATAAGTGAAAATGAGTTAGAATGTTTTTCAGGGTATTAGTTAGCAGACTATGGATTGTTTTGGAAGGGTTGGAGTTGGCTTGATTCTCAATGCCAGGAAACTTCTGCTACCTCCTTGCCACACCTCAGGTCTCTTCATGCAAAGCTGCTGTTTGTGGTGGCTCTTTCTGCCCCTGTGTTACTGAAAATAAGAACCACACCTATGTATGTCAGTTGAAATGAAAAATCAATTTTACTGTGCTCCCTTGTACTCCAGTAGCTTACATTCTTTTTGCTCTGCTAGCATCAGTGGATTTTGCTTCCCAGATCTTTGTTTTGTCCTCAGTTTGCAAATGTTAGGACAGATAACCCCACTGAGCTCACAAATGCTGCTCAGTGAGAGAAGAGTGGGCAGCAGTGGCTGAGGGAAAAAGAAAATATAGGGCAAATCTACTTCTGCACGTGCTTCTGGGAACCTTCCCACTCGTTTTTGTGATCTGGAGCAAAATTGAGCCTTGATCTTGATTATGAAAATGCCACTGCCTGAGAAACATAGTGTGCCTATCTTTGGTTGAATTTATCTTGACTTGTGCTTTCAGTGATAGAGCTTTCCAAAAATCAGTTGGTTTACCTGTCCTGTTGAACTGCCAGGGGCTCAGGGCTAGGAACACGGCATAATCTTAAAAGAGCAGTCCTTCCAAAGCTGCTTCCTTGAAATGCTGTAGCTCGGACCTGTACAATATGGAGGAGGAAAACACCTACAGGACCTGTATTTTCTGGCTCCTCTATTTGGGGATTCTTTCCTTGGCATAAAAGCACTGTAACAATCTCCTTGCTCGCCCCCAAAAGCAGCTGGAGAAGAGGACTTCATGCAATCAGCACAAGTACAGCATACAAAAGGACAGCATTTTGCACTGGCGCTCTCTTGAGGAGACAAACCAACCCCCTAGACACTACACCATGCTTTTTAAGACAGTTTAACTCTTCCTTCAAGGCCAGAAAGCTACAGTTTGTTGCTGGCTCAGTTTTCAACCAGTTAGTGATATAGAGGAAAATGCCTCTGGGTAATATACTAGCTATCACAGCTGTTAATTAACATCTGCTGAATTGCATCTGGAATGGAAAACAGCAAGAAAGTTAGGAGTCAGGTTAGAATAGCAGAATATTGTTATCTGTGGCTGAAATCATGTAACCTCTGGAAAGCTAAGGTCACATTTTAAGTGATCACTTGCAGCACATGAAGTACATTACGGACAGTTGTTCTTCCTTAGTTCACGTGTTTCTGTTTTCTTGCTGTAGTAATTTACAATACAGCTATCTTTTTAATGACTAATCTTATACACCGTGTGTTAACTCCCTAGTTGGTTTTATTGATTTTCTTTTTTGTTGTTGTTCTAGAAAAGAAATTTGTCTGGACATGTCCTCAGTTTGCAGACATTCCTGTGACCCTTCTTTACCTAAACCTCAACTCAACTCAATAACAATACTTTGCAGTTGTAAGCTCACCATGGAAGGCAGATCATGATCCCCAAAATAAACATGCATCATTCCTAACTTAAGGATAGAAAATTCACAAGATAGAGCTTAAGTAAGGTTCTTGAATCTACACATTAATTGAATGAAGCATCTTGTCAGGGAGCAGAAATTAGGCTGCCCACGAAAAGTGAGTGGTTACAAGAGGTTCAAAGAGGCAGTAAAGTTTTATGTCCCTAAGAGGAACCTTCAGAAATGTGGGAGCTTTAACACATCATTGCATGGCTACCTCTGGTAGAGTTGCTGAAGCTGTGCATTGTAAGCCATGCTTGGAACACTAAATGGATCTGAAGAGACAGGCAGAAGTCTCAAAGTATTGTACCTGCGCTTGTGGCATTGTGCATTGGCATCCCACTTGTACATGTAAGAGAAATAATTTTGTTATACCCTAAGCTGTGAATCCAAGCCAGTGTAGTTGTGTTGGGACATATCTCCCATCACCTAGCTGCAGATTTCTAGTGTGGCCAAAGGATAACATCAACAAAAGCACTGAGGTGTCTAATTCCACTCGCTCCAGTGGCTCAGTACCCCTGGATCTGTGCTTCTGTGAAACCTCTTACAGAAAGGAGCACAGTCACACAAATCTATCAAAATTGTATGAAGACGAAGAATTTTA